AGCCCCAACCGCCCGCGGAGCCCCTGGGGGCAGCTGGACCCCTACGACTCCTCCGAGGTGCGGGATGTGGCCGTGGGGAGGGGGGACACACACGTGGGGCGAGGGGCTGCGGGACTGAGGACGTTCCCATCTCGTGAACGCAAAGGTTTGGGCAGGCACTGCTCACCCCTTGGAACTGCAGCCCTGGGAATCCCTTTGCGGGATTAAGGGGGGCTTTCCAGGGTGGGAAGTGGGCTGGCGGTGGCCCTGTCCCACGTCCCCTCTGCCCTCTGCAGGATGACAAGGAGTACGTGGGCTTTGCCACGCTGCCCAACCAGGTGCATCGCAAGTCGGTGAAGAAGGGCTTCGACTTCACCCTCATGGTGGCAGGTACGGGGGTCCAGCCGGCCTGGGGGTGCTGACCCCACTCTGGATCCCAAACACCCTGGACTGGGGACGGGGGAACACTGGCTGCCCCCCTCATCTTTGTCCTGCTTTCTCAGGGGAATCCGGGCTGGGCAAATCCACCCTGGTCAACAGCCTCTTCCTGACGGACATGTACAGGGACCGCAAGCTGCTCAACGCTGAAGGTCAGGGGGGCACTCACGGCCCGGAGGGGTGGCCTGGGGGACCTGGGGAGTGGCAGAGCGCAGGGATGCTCCTGAGGGCTGCAGCCCCTCTCCCTGCCCAGCCAGGCTGCCCTGGAACAACACGTGCTGTGTTGCCAGCTGCTGGCAGTGGTGAGCCCCCTGCCCGGGATGGGAACCCCCCATGGGGTCTTTATTTCCACAGGGAAAACAAGCCCTGGCTTGGCTGGAGCTGCAGCATTTCTGGGAGGCTGGGGACAGTCAAGGCTTGGGGCACAGTGCCAGTTCAGCTGCAGCCAGTTTTTGAATAAAAATGGCCCAAACTTGCCCAAATCCCCAGGAGTTCGAGTTTGTGTTTTTTTATTTGTTTCTGCTGCTTGGAGTGAAAGCCAAAACACATAACACAGCAGGAGCATCCTCGGGGCTGCAGGGACATGGAGGGTCCTGGGGTGAAGGGGCACGTGCAGGCTGGAGCTGTGGGGTCACCTGAAATGCTCCTGCAGCAAGACCCAGCCCCAGCAGGGCCCTGAGCTGAGCTGGGGTCCTGGAGTGGCCGTGGCACAGCCATGGGACGGGTGGACATCCATGGGGACCAGAGCATGGAGCATCCCCTCCTGGGCTGCAGCAAGGCGTGTGGCAGGGCTGCTCCAGCTGGGTCACCCAGCCCCCAGGGTGAGGGATGACACCTGGGGGTCACAGCGTGTCCCCATGTCACCTCCACCCTTCCTGGTGCCCCCCGGTAACGCGTCCCTCCCCACAGAGCGCATCACGCAGACGGTGGAGATCACCAAGCACGTGGTGGACATCGAGGAGAAGGGGGTCAAGCTGCGCCTGACCATCGTGGACACGCCGGGCTTTGGGGACGCCGTCAACAACACCGAGTGGTGAGTGCCATGGGGTGGGGACTGTCCCCAGGGTCTGGATGGTGAGTGCCATGGGGTGGGGACTGTCCCCAGGGGCTGGGATGGTGAGTGCCATGGGGCAGGGGTCTCCCCAGGGTGGGCACCCCGTGGTGGGTGGGATGCCCATGGTTCACTGGGCTTAGGTGCTGAGCCGTGGGAGGCGTTGAGCTGGGGCTCCCCAGAGGACTCGGTGTCACCTCGCTGTCCCTGCAGCTGGAAGCCGGTGGCTGACTACATCGACCAGCAGTTCGAGCAGTATTTCCGTGACGAAAGCGGCCTCAACCGGAAAAACATCCAGGACAACCGAGTGCACTGCTGCATCTACTTCATCTCGCCCTTCGGCCACGGGTACGGGCCCTGCCCGCGCTGCCAGGGGCTGGCCAGGGGCTGAGAGGGACAGGGCTCACCCCGCTCCCCCCGCAGGCTGCGGCCCCTGGATGTGGAGTTCATGAGAGCCCTGCACCAGCGCGTGAACATCGTGCCCGTGCTGGCCAAAGCTGACACCCTGACCCCCGCCGAGGTGGAGCGCATGAAGAATAAGGTGAGGAGAGCTGTCCCAGCAGGTCCCTGGGCACGGGGGTGCCCTGGGTCTCCATCCATCTCCTGCCTGGAATTTGTCCTGGAGCGTTTTCCAGGCTCGCAGCACTGTAGAGGACCATGTTGTCCCCATGGCCACCAAGGACACACTTGCCAGGGGCTCAGCTGAGGGCTGGAAGGATGGGGGGGTGTCCATGACATCTGGTGTGGGGGGAACAGGCTTTTGGGGGCCATTGGCCCTGTGTGGTGCCTCCCACGCCCTCAGGGGCTGTTTGCCTCCAGATCCGGGAGGAGATCGACCACTACGGAATCCGCATCTACCAATTCCCTGAGTGCGACTCGGACGAGGATGAGGAGTTCAAGCTGCAGGACCAGGCGCTGAAGGTGGGTCTGGCTCCCCCAGCTCCATCACTGGAGGGGCTCTGCCCATGGCTGGGAGGACACGTCACCCTAGGGAACCTGCAGGACTCTTGGGGCCACACAAGCTCTCCAGCATGGAGGGGCTGGCACATATCTCACTACCCAGACACGTCACCAAGGTCCCACGGGTGACACCTGCAGCTTGGGATGGAGCTTGGGTGGAGAAACCCGTGCCACGACCTCCACTGTCCCACTGGGGCTCTCCACAGCTGGGCCTGTGGGGTATCTTGGCCAACGGGTGCTGGACACAGCGAGGAGGGCACGTGGAGGGATGGGGGTGGGTGGGGGTCACGGCAGGGCCCTGCTCACCCCCCGCCCTTGCAGGAGAGCATCCCCT